GGGGGGCAAAACATGAGCATTTTCAGTTGATTCAGGACCAGAATTTTTTTTTTGCAAATCAGAAAAAAACGAAGAGGCGAATCCGAGAACCAACAAATTAAATTGGTATGGCCTTAGCAAATAATTACCACAAAATTACCTTTGAGGTACACTACATTCTTGCAGTAAACATGAGTGGCTACATCCCAGTCGTGGATTTCTCGGCTTACAGCCTTGACAACAAGAACGTACACGACGCCGACCTGGACGCGCTGACAGGCGAACTCATGCAGGCGTTCACTACTGTGGGCTTCGTGTACCTGAAGAACACCGGGATTCCAACATCAGAGGTAGGCCCAAGATACTAGTAGCTCGTAATCTTTTCTATTTGCCATGCTCCGTTATAGACATGCCCCGTCAACTTTAACTTCAACTTTATTTGTTCAACCAGGTATCACACTCAGGCCACTCTGGCCTGTTTTTCAGGAAATCCTGGTACAAAAGCACAGACAACCACCTAACAGTTAAACAGATTCACAATACATACAAAGTCTAAAAATAGCACATAGATAAAACTAATCTTAAATACAATTCGAATTTTCGATAAAAACTGTTTAAAAGTTCTGAGACTGAGCTGCTGTCGTTGTTGTAGGGGGAGTGAGTTCCAGAGTTATTAAAGTTTAATGTGCTACTATTTGCTCTTTTTATACCCTAAGCTGTACATGTTTTCAGGTTCCATGTGTGATTTTCAGATATTCTATGTGCTATCTTTCGTATTGTCGTGCCAATTGATGTTGCTAAAGAAGTGATTGAAACGTCTGATTCACTCATGCAGGTGAAGAACGTCTTTGACGTCTTCGATGAATTCTGCTTTCAACCGGAAGCCGCGAAGGAGAAATACTCCCGTCCGGTGGACAGGACAGCCGAGCGGCATGGCTGGGTGGCTCTGGAAAGAGAAATGTGAGGAATTATACGCCAAAAAGCAGTCAATATCAATGAGTAGTTCGTTCTTATAAACCTGCAATTCTCCCGTAGTCTCTTAGTGTCACTGACGAAAGGTAGTGGATTTTTTTTACTTAGTGGCCACCACGTAACACGACCATAAGGCCACTTCAAGGTTGGTTAACCACCTGGATTGTATAACCTGAATGTTATTGCCACTCACCTGGGTTACGGGATGCTACCTGAAACGTCTGACCGTTGTCAAAATCATATCCAGTTGCTTGTGTAACTGTTTTTTTTTGCGTATCTTATTGTGGCAAAAAATATAAGAGCGACGAATGTGACTGCATAAAGTTCAATGGTTTGAGATTTTACAAGCTTTGTTTTTTTCCAACGTTTTGCAGGTTGTCTCTGGTGGGAAGGGACACGCCTGCCCCCGGTGACCTGAAGGAATGCTTCAACATACACCCACCCCTTACTGAAGGACAGGTGCATTTTTATAAGGCCATGTTGATTTGATTATATGGATGACATCCTCTGGGAACCCCAAAAATGATGCGAGCGTGCGAACAATAAAGTTTGGCAAAAAAGTTTCCTTCATAATGCTACGTGGTCATTGAGGTTGAACAAGTGAATAAACACGCACGAGTATGGTATGGCGAATAATAGAATCCTTATTTTCATTTCTTTACATTTTCTTCTTTCGGAATTGATTTTGGCATTCTAAGACATTAGTATCGTTCTCCAATTATTTCTTTGCAATCTTTGGCATATATTTGCTAATTTGAAATTGCTTTGTACGATTTACAGTATAGTCGAAAACTTTTTTTTGAAACGGACGAAAATTCATACGCATGCGGATATCACCCATATAATCAAATCAACATGGCCCAATCGCTAAAGGCACTAGGGGATGATACTAGTAGATAAAACGAGGCTCTAAAAAGTGTAGATCACGATGCATACCAAGCTCTTGCTAACTGCTGCAGTTGTATTCGTGCGAAATCAAATCGTTTACTAAGCTGGTTGCCTGTTTTCTTCTTCAGACCTGGCCGGAGGAAGTCCCAGAGTTTGAGCCAGTGATGATGGACTTCTATCACAAGTGCCAGGTGATCGCCATGCGCCTGTTGGAGCTCATAGCCAGAGGACTGGGAGTCGAGGTATGTTTGTTTGTTGTTTCTACGGAAATGTTGATGTGATTACTAGTATATGGATGACATAGATGCGTGCATGAATTTTCTCGTCCGTTTCCAAAAAAAAGTTTGCGACCATACAGTAAATCGTACAAAATGAGCGAATATATGTCGTTTGTTGCAAAGAAAAGTGTCGGAAAACAATACTAATGTCATAGAATGTCGAAATCAATTCAGGAAAAGAAGAAGATGTCAAGAAATGAATATGAAGAGTCAATTTTTATTCGCCATACCATACAGCTCTTTTGTTCTTTTCAGAAAATGTAATATTTTAGGATCTCGCCGCACTAAGTACATGTCATGTTTTCATGTAGGATGTGGACGGTTTCTTGGGCAAGTTCAAGCACGTCGGAAAGGGTCGTAACGGCACCAACCTCCGAACCCTCCGCTACCCTCCCGTCCCGGACGTCATCAAGCAGGACCAGGTCAGGTGTGGTGAACACCGTGACATCGGCTGCCTGACTCTGCTGTTCCAGGACAACCATGGCTTGGAGGTACGTAAATTTGCCGGGGACAGTTGACTTTTTTTTTTATATTCCAACATGTAGTCACAAGACTTGGTGACCGCACACTCAAGTTTTTTCAACTTATATTAATGCCGCCACCAACGCAGGGGACAATACAATACTCATTTTCACCTGAGCGAGGTGAGGAAAGTGCCTTTCCCGAGGGCACAAGATAGGTGGTATGTCAGGACTCGAACTCGGGACCTCTTGGTTCCGAGTCGAGCACTCTACCGCTACGCCACACGACCCCACAGTTGACTTTTCAAAGTCCCTAAACTATAAGGTGTTTTTAAAATTCACACACCAAGGAGCTTCTTGCATATACATTTATAGTGAGTATGCAGCGGGTACCAAACGGTACAACTGAATTTCTCGCACGTTATCATGGAGTGGTCGTCCGTTGATGATAGAAGCCTAAAAACAAGATAACTGAAAAATATCAAAATGTGTATATGACGGCCCAGTGATATATCATTTGTACCCTAATATTATGTCAATGGTCACTGAGTGTTACGGCCTTTCAATGTGAAACAAGATTGAACTGTAATTGCTAACACAAGAAATTGGACTCGTCCAAATTTTCGACTATACGACTCCAGTCTTTGTCAAGGAATGAGCAAAACACCGCTTCCGTGACGTCACGCAGATAACACACGTGAGCAGTGGATCATAGGTTGCAGAAAGTCTGTAGCGCCCCCCGTCTCTTGTCCAGCTTGTCCAGTGTACACGTATCAGAAGATAAGTTAAGCTCTTTTGTACCGCTAACAGGTGGTGAACGCTGACGGACAGTACGTCCCAGCCTCGCCCATCCCGGGGACTGTCGTGGTCAACATCGCGGACACCTTACAGAGGTGGTCAGCCGACAAGCTCAAATCGACGGTAAGAAACGTTTGGTTCCATTCTTTTTTTTTATTCCAACATGTAATCACCAGACATGGTGATGACACACTCAAGTTTCTTCAACTTGTATTAATGCCGCCACCAACACAGGGGACAAATACATGACAGGACAATACTCATTTACACCTGAGCTAAGTGAGAAAAGCCATTCTTTGATTTCTGAAAGTAATGCTTTTGAGCGAAATATATAAAGAAACGTCTCTTACAGACATAATAATCTTTATTATTGAATAATGATTGTGAAAATTACATCCGAACGTTTCCAGTGACATCTAGCATCCACCAGGCCTTTCTACAGGAATACGGATCGTAGAATTCGGCAAAAAAGAGAGTAAAATTGGCCAAGAGAGTCCGGCCGCGGGGCGGTAGTTTCTTTCCTTCCGAAGCGCGGCCAGTCAAACCTACAAGGCGGCCAAACTCCCCTGGCAAATATTCTCCAACATATAGCCAGCGTAGTCAGCCTGGTAGAGACTAATAGTCCTACTTATCACTTGACATTTTTTTAGTGTTTCCTGTTTCCTGTGTCACTCCTACTTATCACTTGACATCAGTTTTGAGTCGTATTATCATGAAAGTTCATCTGTGTTGGTAGTAATCATAGTAAAATGTTGAACTTTATTCCAACACACAATTATACAGGGATCAAATTTTCAGCGACCAATGTCGCCTTCATCAGGATAATTAATGACCAATAATTATCCTGATGAAGGCGACAGTGGTCGCTGAAAATTTGATCCCTGTACAATTGTGTGTTGGAATAAAGTTCAATCTTTTACTACTTTTGAGTCGTGTTGTTCCACAGAGGCATCGTGTGGTGATGCCTGAGGGCCGGGAGGAGAGGCAGTGCGTGCGCCGCTCCATCGCCTACTTCTTCCACTGCGACAACGACGTGGAACTGAAGTGTCTGGACGGGTCCGACAAATACGAGCCGATCTTGGCACGGGATTACATAAGCATGCAAGTCGGGGCCACCTACCTGTCCGGGTAGATGGGCTGCTCATCTCAACCCCACCTGACCATTAAGGTCTGGTTTGATATAGAAACTTTATTTGCAAAATCATGCCCGAAGGCTAATTACTTTAACAATCAAGTACACTACTCAGTGCAATACAATAATAGAAGACAGGAAACTACTGTCTGGAGAAAACTTCTACTTCTACTATATTATGGGGTTCGACTTCTTCTTTGAAGTCAGTGGATAAAGAATAGTCCCACGTTCTGCATAATTAGTGGGTTTTGTGATCTTAGTAGAAACGTAGTCTTTTGGTGATCTTCTAAATGACGAATGGATGGCGAAATTGTTGTAACTGTCTGAAGTGGTGTCTGAAATGTGTTTAATGGTGTCTGAAATACTACTCAAGGAAAAAACCTCTATCTGACATGGTAGTTTTTTAGGCCTATTTTTATAATCTATGATAATTTCTTCACCAGGGTCACATTTTGACCGTTGGTACGTTGGTAGAAGTGATCAATACAATATTTCTCGATCTCGCCTATATAGCTATCTGTTCAAGTCTTCTAAGCTGCCAGGTTTGACACTCAATTAGCGGAAACAAGTGTGCTCACATCAGTTTTGTTACCTACAGGATGTCATCCACAAAATCCAATCATTGTGGCCTTACGCGAAGAAAGAGACACATTGAGAAAAACGCATTTAGAGAAGGTCCATTTATTATACAGGTCGTCACCACAAAACTATGATTATATACACATGGAATAGCAGCATTCGCAGTGGCTTGGTAGAAAGTATTGAAAACCTTGAAAATTCCACAAATAACACATCCAATCCGTACAACCTAATAATCAAAACTCAGAGGAAACCATCAAACGTTCTATATCTACCTGATACTACATATCACCCAAACTGTAAGAAGTTATGCTAAAACCTTTCCCATTTCTAAACTTGAGTGCAGATTTTATTCACATTTCACTGGTCTGAATCTCAACCGTCATATAACACTGCTACGTAATGAATCCTTGGCAACATTACAATAAAAACAATGTAAAAAAAAACTTGGAATTTTACCTTTGATATAATTTGTGCAGTTCAATATATTTCATTAAAAAGTGATTTTTGTTTGTAACTTTACAAGAATTATACAAAATTTTTCCTGTCGTACTTTTCATTGCTTATCATCTGTATTGAACCATTTGATTTAACGGCCAAAACATAGCTGTAAAATGGCCAGACTGCATACATGCAAGTTTTGTACAGAAAATATCTCAAACACAACAAAATTAGAGCCATTTCTGACACCAACACATCATAACCATCCATGCAGCAATAGAGCTCTTGCCCCGTGATTTTCTATGTCCACTTCGTGGCACTACTTCAAATCTCATGTTCTATACACCCTTGTCCTGATCATTATGTTGTGTTACGTGTCGTAAGTTTGGCTAACACACAACTCAAGTGTTTGTAAATGTGTCTTTTTCATTACAACATTGACACTGATGTATCTACAAGTACTAATCTTTCCTTAGAAATGCGTAAAAATGTAAAATAAAATCCTTCTGCATAAAATGTGCATCATCATTTTTCCCCGTTTGCTTCTGACAAAGTGACGACTTGAATTGGCACTTTCCGTTCTTTGTTCTTTTTTTGGGGGGGGGCAAATAGAAGGTTACGGTAAAAGTTGATATATACCCTTTCACAGCATTTTTGAACACTTCAAGTTTACATTCATTGATTTACTAGTATATATGTTTGAGTTGGTCGAAGAAGAGGAGAGAGAGAGTTGGTCCTATATCCAAAAATGTAGTGTTGCCAATTGGGTAAGTTTATATTCTTTTAGCACCTATATAAAAAGAGGACTATTTAGATATATTCTATAAATCCTTAAAAAACTGACAATCATCGCGAGAAGAGGTTCATGGGCAGAGATGGTGGTGTAGTGTCCCGGATGTTGACGTCACCGTTGCTAGGCGACGGTAGGGATGCCCTGCGCATGCTCAGAGCCAGTTGCCATAGCGCCCAGCCGGACCGATCCCCGCCCCGTTCCAGAGTGTGAAGCGGTCTTGTACTGAAAGAAAAAGGAGAAGGCAATGTGTTTAAAATCTTTGAAAAGTTTTGAAAAGATTGACTTGTTAGAATGGAACTCCCTTTCCCTGAATATCAAAGTTCTTTCTTCACAACCACCTGTTTTAATTTACAACAGCCTACGTTTCGGTGACCGACTGTCATCTTCATCAGGGCTATAATGACTGATTCACTGTACAGTAATAGTAACACCTAGCTTCAGTAAACAGTGTACCGATCATTATCGGGCTGATAAAGATGACAGGCGGTCATCAAAACGTCGGCTCTTGTAAACAAGTGGTTCTGAATAAAGAACTTTGATATTCAATCATTCACCAACCTGATGCAATTATTTAAGGTTATTTAAGGTTACAATATTTTTCAATAATTCAATGTCTTAATTAGATCATAGACCCCCAAATTGTTTTGCCCTGCAGTGGCATAGTTACTTCCGCATTCGTTGCGCTTCGTTGCGATGTGATGCGTTGCACGAGAAATACCCCCAAATCGTACCTATACAGGGTGCTATATAAATGGTACTGTATGTGCAGAACGACAAATGTTGCGCTCAGCAGGACAAGGGTTAAGAACAGGCAACAGAAGGACAAGGGAGTCCATGGTGAACATCTTACCGTACGGCTTGCCTGCGACCCTCCCGTCGTTTTGGCCGGGTTTGAGCGGTCCCGGGCGATAGAAGTCCTGGTCGCTGTGTTGGTAGAGCTGCTCTTGGGTGTTCCCAACAAAGGCCGCTATCATCGTAACATGAAAGAAAAGGATCATAACAAATTAAAACTTTATTTGAAATTACTAAAACTAAACCGGGTGTGAAACATTGTGTTCTTACAAGAATCCCCCCCCCTGCTTTTGAGTTCGTTGTCTTCAGTATCTCAGCAACTCTCGCCGCGCGTTGGCCAATGGCGTTTCCTGCAGTTACTGCCTACTTCGCTAGGTGTCACACCTGAACTGTCCGCGTCTTCAACATGCAGCTATGCTAGTCTCACATACTGCTTAACATCAACTGCCTTGTGAAGTGTTCCGGTAATTACCTAAGGGAGAATTTCAGACGGACACGAAGATACAGGTTAAATGATTGAAGACCTAATAAATCTATGAAGTGCATAGAGTAAAAAAAAAGGAATTTCAGACTTTTTCTTAAAGAGGTGTCGCATGCACTTAACAATTGTTACGTTAGCTATGTTTTTCGTAAACGCTTGCGCACATAGTATTTTTTTTTACACCAAACGCATTCAATACGTCACGTCATCGGTAGACATGCACCGCACGACATTGTTTCCACATACAAGTACACCACGGCAAACCGTTATAAACAAACTCAGGCCTCTGAATCCATCTCCTTCCTTTACAATTAAAGCCACTACAGTTTTGTTCCAGGGAATAGCAGCTTTCTTTGTGTTTTATTTTCCGATAAACAAACGAGTAAACCAAGAACATAAATGCAAAAATAATAATGGCCCTTTCATCTTCTTAGATTATTGAACAAACCAAATCATTAAACGAAAAGAAAAACAAAAAGCAAAGCAACATAATATGAACAACATATGCGAAATGTGTATTGCGGGGAAATAACGGGTGGAAACAAGTTTTGTAACTAAATACACCAACAAATGAATAAATAAATGAATTAACAAACGATTAACGTTGTACATGGAAGATTACCTCAATAGCACATACTAGAATCGTCCTATTATCGTACTAAAGAAGAGAAAATGACGAAACTCGAGCTGTGCTGTCATTTTCTTTCTACAGTACGATGATATGAAGTTTCTAACACGCCCTATTGGTGCAATCGCGCTGTATGTTGTTGCATGACGCAAAACATGCAACATATTAGACCAAAACCGCCACCGTAGGACCCAGGGATGATAGTGCTGCAGGGATGGCTGCGATAGTCTCGTAAACCGCTCTTTTGTGGGCAGATGTAGTAGCCTTCTACACAAGCAGACGGCTTACGAGGCTAACTGAGGTGGGCAGATGTGCTATGAGTGAATGATTCTACGATAGCAGTGCAGTGCTGTGTTAAATCTCCCAGCAGATCCATTCCGCACCGAAGTCGTAACGTAACCAAGCGGCAAGGCACTATCAGATCGGGCAGCCAATTTTCCAGCGGTGCACAATTTTATAGTTTCTTGACGTACGGTTGGTCACGACCACCGAAACTAGATCTGCTTGGAGATTAATAAAATGGGGTTAGCTGAGTGTTAGGCATGTCTAAATGCAGGCGTTAGTGTAGCGTCTACCAAGCTTCGGAAGCGGCTGGAAAAAAGTAGAATTTGGCCAAAAAGACATATAACGTGCTATGACAGGTGGTCCGCCAAAGGAGTACAGTTTGCTGCTCCCGGGGTGCGGCAATTATACTCCTTTAGTATACCAACTAGTACTCACCTACCAGGGTGTGTTATCTGTTTATTTGGTCAATCTGTACTCTTTCCAGTCGCTTCCGAAGCCTGGTAGTGTTAGCGTTAGTGCGTTATAAATGACAGTGCGAGGTTTGTGTTAGCTGGATTAGTACAGCTTGCACGTGCAAGTTCTCTACACAGCCGTTAGTGGGTTACCTTTAGAGGGAGTGTTGGGCCAGCTTTCGTAGTAATCCTTGGAGTTACGGACGTGTTTGCCCCACGCCTGTGTAGGGTTGGGCGGGTAGGTACCCAGCCGGGGCAGGGGGTCGCGGTGAGCTGTCGGGGTGTACCTCACGGGGAAAGTTCCTGGAGCGAGAAGGAGAGAAAAAAAGTCAAGATTGAAGGTTTAGGAATGAATTTTTTACGTACGTGGGTTCGCAGGACGGGCACCACGTTTGGTGTGTTGTTGCCCAGACGACGGATTTTGTCGTGGTGCACCACGGGAGTGAACCTCAGGGGGTACCAGTCTGAGGGGAGGCAAATATCGTCAGACAATAGCGCTAGCCTGGTATCCAGCACTGTTGAGCTGAAGGTCCCCTGTGAGAATGGACTGAAGGGACCTGGTAGCTGAACACGGGTGGATACCAGGCTAGACAACAGCTTCAAAGTGCATCAACAGCTTCATCTGCTGTAATTTCCCCATTGTCCTTCATCCGTCCCTTCCATCCATCCATCCATCCATCCATCCATCCATCCATCCATCCATCCATCCATCCATGATCCATCCATCGCTGTCTCTCTGTCTGGATCTGTGCCTGTCCATCTCTCTCTCTCTCTCTCTCTCTCTCTCTCTCTCTCTTTCTCACTCTCTCTATCTTGTATGTTAAGGATGAACTGGATTGAACTTTGAACAATCATTCTGTGACCCAATTTGAGCATGGAAAACAAAAAATCAATGTTATGCAATGTCTCTCTGCCTGTCTGTCTGTCTGCCTCTGTATGTCTCTCTAGCTGTCTCTGTCTGTCTGTCTGTCTTTGTCTCTCTCTGACTGTCTGTCTCTGTTTTCCTCTCTCTCTCTCTCTCTCTCTCTCTCTGACTCCTTTTCCCTTCTTTTTTTTCTCCGCACCCCACCCACATACCCTCAGGTTTGTTGAATGCCATGGTGTAGCTGGTGTTCCAGTCCATCTCCAGCCGGCCCTGCCCGATGTACTTGTGGTGAGCGGCGTAGTTCGGGTACGTGGCCTTGGTGACTCGGGGTTTCCCTGCGTCATCAAATGTAAAAAAAAAGCCCTCACATACATAGCCACTATAGCATGCCAAAAACAGGGTCTTTGGGAGCTTTTATTCGCTATTTCCTGGTTGCATATAGACAACATAGTTGGTTGAATTACCCCCGTTCTTACTCAAACACATTCACATATATGGTGACAGGAGTCTAAATCCCTCCTACTATAAAATTGCAACATTATGTAACCTAACACCAGTTACCATGGTGAGAGACAGTCTGGTTCAGTCAGGTAAGAGGTCAATGTTTGGAGAAGAAGAAGAGGAGGAAACGTAGCAAAAACAAAATGTTTTCCTTCGGTAAACAAATAAACAACGAACCTGCGGGCGCGCTGAGTGGGTGGTGCGGGGCTTCACGCGGGATGTCCCGGTGGGGCATGTAGTAGTCGGACGCCGTCTTGATGCGGGGGTTGTACGTCTTGTCGATGATGTAAGAGCGGTTCTGAAAAGGCACAAGAAATACGCTCTTTAAAGATTTGTTTACCTCTAAGATTTATAACCTCTAGCGAGCTTTGGATCCCCTCCCCCCTTCCCTTTGCCAACCATATCTTTTAAAGAACCCTTCAAACAGCAACCCACCTCGTACAGTACACACTAATTTTAGTACTCTAAAGAAATAAGGTGAGTTACCTTACAAACATATCCAAGACTGCGTACATATCCTAAGTCTCCCAAAATAGTCTAACCCGAGGAAAAGACCCACGGGCACCCCCTCCCCATACCTTCAGTAATCAGTATACATGTCAGTATTCGTAAGAAATAAGGTGATCTACCTTGTTCAACAAACGTATCCAAGACCGCGTCAAGTCTCCCCAAACAGACTTACCCGGCGTAAAGACCCAGAGGCACCCCTCCCCTCCCGAGTAGCTTCCCAAACCTGTCAGGATTTATGTAGGAGAGTTTTACCCATGCCGCTCACGGCGTGTCTAGACACACGTCCGGTTTACAACCTGTGAGCGGTACTTGACGCTGAACTTACCGGCAGGTGCGCTACTGGGGAGGTAAATCAACGGGGAAAAACGGTCCGAGTGTGGTAGCCTCTATAGCATGCCAAAAACTGGGGGTTATGGGGGTCTTCGTGGTCTTTGGGAGCTTTTACGTGCTATTTTCTGATCGCATATAGACATGTAGCCTGCCTGGTTGAATTACCCCCGTTTTTTTCTAATCAGAAAACAGCCGAAAGCCACCAAACCCCCAGTTCTATAAGCCTACTACGGAGGCTACGAGTGTGGTCTGATTTTCTACTGCACGATACAGCACTACGTTATCTTAGTACACGTGACGGGATTTCCACCCTGACGTACTCTCCAAGCAGAGGTTTGAACTTTGGCTTATTTTTGGCTTTTTATCAGGCCAGCACAAAAAATACTAGTACAACAAAGAAAGCCTGATAAAAAATCCTAAAAACACGCAAATTAAAAAACCAAGTGAGCCCAAACCTCTGCTTGGAGAGTAGCCCAGACAACCATTTCTGTAGCGTTGTAGTGTGAATCGTTTTTAAACATACATGTAGCAATCGTTGTCTCTTATAGGGTTATTGGGCATCAGACGTGTTAAGATGAATGTGTTATATCCTTATACCACAAACCCCTTCGACGGACACCCGTTGCTAAGTTACGCCCACGTTTCGTCCTACGAAATATCGATTGTTGTCTCTTATGGGGTTAGCAGGTATCAGACGTGTTAAGATAAATTGTTATACATTTATACCACAAACCCCTATGACAGACACCCGTTGCTAAGTTACGCACACGTTTCGTCCCACAAAATAGCAATCGGTGTCTCTTATGGGGTTATGGGGAATCAGATGTGTTATAATATATTATTAATAAGATAAATTGTTATACATTTATACCACAAACCCCTATGACAGACACCCGTTGCTAAGTTACGCCCACGTTTCGTCCCACAAAATAGCAATCGGTGTCTCTTATGGGATTATGGGGAATCAGATGTGTTATAATATATTATTAATAAGATAAATTGTTATACATTTATACCACAAACCCCCATGACAGACACCCGTTGCTATGTTACGCACACGTTTCGTCTACGGCATATCTCTCTCGTTACACCCACATCATAGCTGTTACGTGATGCTAATATGCGCAAGATGACCTTATTGATTCCAAAGACAAATTTGCTCGCGGGTATTTTACAAAGTCGGATTAGGCATAGGCAAATTTCAAAGTCCGTACCCGGCCGTATATACGTGCGTAACGCATTCCGATCTCAAGTGCTCTGCGCACAACGTGTCTACATACCCCGCACAACAACACTGTCACGTTGACACATGACATTTTGTCTCAGCTCGGAAAAAAAACTGGCTCTCCAAATGTGAACATCAGTCACCAAGTCCCTGGAGTATTTGATGAAAACAGCCATTTAAATGCCGCACGTTTTTGGGGCATACTAGTTCAAGCGTGGCGTGTTGTTTCACTTGGTATGGCCACGTGACTACATGACAGGTGGATTGGGTTGTTGGCCTTATATGGTCTTTGAACTAAGTGCTCGGTTGTTGCCATGGCGACAAGGTTCGAATTCTCTCCGTATACAGTGGCGCCTGAAGCCCCAAAGGTAGCTGGATGTTATTTTCATCATAGAGTAATGAACTCCTTTGCTTTGGCCGCTAATGACAGTACTAATGTTGTCTTTTTGTAGTTTCTGCATACAGAAGAAAGCGTACAAAAACATCAAAGAACATTATTTATGATTAAAATGTCCCCAGTATGAAGCTGCAATAATCACCAGAATTAGTAAATTCTGTGGACACTGTGTTTTAAAACCTGGTTGAAAAATGTATACTTTGTTGTTATTGGACAGAAAATTTAACATTATTATTGGTATGGGTCAGAATATGGATAACAGCAATTCTGTTGCTTAGCTTGACACTTGACAAAAATAAAAATTGTTAAGAAAACAGATATCAAAGGGCTAGTATTTGGTCAAAAACTAGTATTTGGTAGTCATGAAAACAGCCAAGCTAAATCAGAGACAAATTGTCGTCTGCAGTTACCATGGAGATATGTCTGGCACCTAGTATGGCTGTGACAGCCTGTGTCTGCCGTACTTTTCTAGCCGTATCTTTGGTGATATTATTGTAAGAAACAGGAGGAGCCAGTAGAAACAGATAAAAACCCACTGGTCCCGGGCCGGGATTCGAACCCACGACCAAACCGGGGAACCAGTCCACACGCGGACACACTAACCGCTCGGCCGAAAATGTCTAGACCCGTTTGCCGGATCAGTTGGTAACGCCTATAAACCCCCCACTGTTACACTTATCACTTAAGGCAAATAGTCTATATCTTGGTACACGAGAACCACATATATCACACCAAACAATCAATTAATTACGCAACCCAGTAGACAAACAAGTAGGCAAAACCAATCAATATATACTCACGATATTTGGATAGTAGATCCAGTTCTTCTTGGGCACGTTGTAAGACACTACCCTTGGTCTTGCTTGTGGGAAGATGGCCGAGTAGCTACAGAAAAACAACAGAACAGAAACGTGTAAGGGATTCAGTTTTACATATCACAGTGTATGGTGGGTGGATTGCATGCAAAATACATCAGCGTCTGTTTGTGACAGGCTCAGACTTGGCGCGGAAATGTGGAATCTCGCACGTACGCCATGTAATTGTCGTCTGCGTTGGCATGGCAACGCCTCAGTGTGCTATGTGACTAGGATTTGTAAGTTTTGTTCCTTACATGCAGTGGAAGATGAAAATCATGTCATTTCTAATTGTTCATTATATAATGATATCAGAAACCAACTATTTACCGTCGTGTCCAAAATGCACCACTACTTTCCCACTATCCCTCATCAGGAGAAAAGAATTTTACAACTAGAATCAAAGAACCCACATATTATAGACGAAGTGGTTAAATTTGTCTCCCACTGCCTGACAAGAAGAAGTAAAAAACAACAAAATAAGTACCACGTATGATGTAGAATGTAGTATCACGTAGACCCTCATATCATTGTACCTTCTTTTTCATACATATTGTTTGTATTTGCGATTAGGCCTTGGGCATGTATTTGCAATAAACTTTCATCGTTGCTAACATATTAGTAGCTAGTCAAGGTCTACCAGCAGGGTATTTTGTGAAGGTTATGTTCGTCCTAACAACCTTGAAAAATCCCAACAAATATCCGCCTCATCAACAGTACCACGTGAGATCAAGTGCCTATTGGGACTCGAACCCAAGCCCTTCAGTCAAGGAGAACATCATTACCACTTTGACATTGACATTGACACCTCCATTAGAACGTTTTAAGTACACAGTATTAACGCGTTTGAGCCGCCACTTTTGGCCGCACAGCTTATGCCAAGGGATAGATGGTCCAATCAGCACCAAGGACAGGGCTAGTCAGTTCTGTCAAAACAACCAATCGCCATCAACTTTGCATGTTTCTTTGGCCTGGACGTTTGGCATTTTACACTTCATTTTGAAATTATTACTGTTTGTTTGTCTATCTGTTTGTTGTGAAAGGCAGTCCCTGATCCGAATAATTTAAAATAAATTAACACGGTTCAGCCAATTTACGAACTACTCCACCCCTACGACCCAGTTTTGGTACGTCCCTAATTACCATATCCTCCCATATACGGTAAACAGGAAACAATAAAGTAACCAGAAGGCGCCGCGACTATCGTTGCTAGGCGACCACGACTTCCTGCTGAAATAAACATGATATTTTACCCCAGGCTAGACCCTTAAAAAAGGGTGATTAAATACTGACGGAAGTGTTGAAAATGCCATGGCCGAATGATGACGTCAGCTTGTCCTACTTTTATTTAGGTTACCCGCCTGCAACAGAGACAAATTTGCATTTTAATCGTTTTTCTAACCTTTTACTATAAGCTGGACATCTGTGAGACTATGCAAGAGAAATAGTTTTTTTAGCCTATTTGCTGCCTTTACCAGAGCAAACTGAGCTTTCTAGATCTATTTGTTTAAATGTAACATAATGATATAGACAAAAGATACAACTAGACCACAGATGCAAATAGACCAACCTTTTCTAGAAGCCTGTCTTTCTAGGCTATCATCACATAAGAGCAAAATCTTCCAAAGTAGCAGTTTTAGGTAGACATTATTTTTCTATTCCCTTTGTTTGCATTTATTGAATAAACATCGTTCCATTCTCATGCTTGTCATTTTCACGACGGCTCACCCCTCCTTCTCTGAAACCATTTTTAAAATGAAATGTAAGAATTGGCCTGACCTCTGACCCCTCCATGCCAACATATAGGACTGGACAATGACAATGACTGGACAATGATGTATTTTTTTGTTATCATTACTATTTATTACTGTTATTGGTTAATTACTGTGTTTTCGTTATTATCATTGCCATTATAATTTATTTATTGTTTTCGTTATTATCATTGCCATTATAATTATTTATTGTATAATTTTTGTATGCTAATGTTATTATTTGTATGTGATTGTTGTACTGTGCTGTGTAATACAGGGCCCCGTTGAAAAGCAGTGCCATCACTGAATTGGGTTACCCTGTATAAAAATGACGGAAAATAAAATAAATAAAATAAAATAAAACCCGTCAAATGGGTTCCTCTGCCAGGTTACAGATTCGATAATCCCTTGGAGTCGTTAGAGCCCACTTCTCGCACGTCAAACTAATCCCGGTAACGCCTCGTGAAAGCAAAACCGACACTTTTAGACACGGAAGAGGATCAGACGACCGAGATTTCTGACTTTTCGGAAATCCCTAATAACCCGCTGACTGGGCGGACACGGGTTACAGAACCACGTGTCGTCTGGATCTGCAAGCGACGAGGGGAGAATGGGATCATGTCCTTGATGATATTTGTGCATACAAATGACTGCAGCAAAATCAAACCTCCGCCTGTCTATTATGTATGTTGGATTCCCGTCATGAAAATATTGTGTTATTTTGAATCCTTGTTTCCTTCTTCTTCAAGCTTCATAAAAGATTTCATCCCGTTTTTGTTATTTACCCAAAATGTTCATCTTTGTCATTATGTCGTGCAGTTTAAATCAATAGAGCTGTAGATATTAAGAAATTTACATTTTAGATATGATAGAGAAATATAAATCGACCCCGATACCATCATGCAAATACTACAAATCTAAACATTATTTTTTCTAAACATGTAACGCTACTTTGATCTAGCAAATTCAACTACTAGTATACGGCGAGAGCGGTTCCAGTTGTGTAGTAGGGGTCCATTTTCTCCGTGCGTGAAAAGATATCTGGACACCTAGCTGTATCCAGAACCGTGCTCAGACACGGTTCTGGATAATCCACACGTATCCATAACCGTGCCTGGGGCAAATCTACGTTCTTGATACACGCAGAGACTATCCAGAACCGTGCCTGATCCTAATCCTAACCCATTCAGACATAGACCTGGATAGGCGCGGGTCTGGCTTCAATACAACTGTCGTGTTAAGGTGCACACTCCGCCCAGGGCACTCCATTGTCTGTCGTCTGGGTCTCCGATACTCTACTCAAGGACATTATACCGAAGTAATCAATCTTCTTCAACAAGACAAGAAGCTAGGGGCTAGACTTTTATCTTTCTCCTCACGCTACATTTTTTAAAAATATCACTCTCATATGCATCTCTTGTAAATTACGCCTCGAGCAGTGGTGTAGGTCTCATTATTTTCGACGTGTTTTTTCGTGCTTTCTTTCTTGTACTGGGATCTAATTTCACCAACCAAATGGATGGCAAATGAATACAAGTACTGCCTGGCCCATTTGATACTGTCTTGAAGCCACCAACAGATCTGCTTGGAGACTATTGAGAACTAATAAATAACTAGCCTGGTCAGAGAGGTTATAATCTATCTACCCCTACTCTCCAAGCAGAGGTTGGGGGAATGATCGTTACATTTTTATATATGGCCGTTTTTTTTTGTCCTGATCCCCGTCGGTGGCCGCGGACCTTCTCTAGCTAATGGATACTGCCTGGCCAATTTGATACTGTCTTTTTGCCACCGAGAGGTATCTGCTTGGAGATTATCTACCCCCTCTCGTGAGTAGAATAGATTACTCCACAAGTGCTTGTTTAGTGGTGGGATTATGAGATAAAGCGACTGTGATGAGTCCGTGCAACGGGTGTCAGCGGTTTGTTGACCGTCGCGTCTTTCCAATTCCGGTATCATGTTCCCATGTGTCTCTACGGGGCCAAGCTATTCAGTAGGAAACTCTAGTCTCCATAAGACTGACATAGCGGGTTAAAAACAGTGAAATTTGGCCAAATAGCGAGAATAACTGGCCAAAAAGTTTAGCCATAGAAAAGGACATTTTCCCATACAGTTGCCCTACCTAGGACTGACTCTCCTGGCCAATTAATTCCCCATTTTCTACGATCCGTTTCCCCGTAGAAAGGCCTGGTGGAGGCTACCAAAACTCGCTTCAGAACCTGATTTTCCAGGCTACATTTCCTCAGGCCACAGACAACGAGAAATGCCCGGGAGCGAGACTACATATATGTATATGTCGACGACACGCCTTCCAAGAAACAACCAAGGTGTCCCCCTTTTTTCATTTTGTCAAGTCGTCAATAATCCATCACACGAATGAATGCCCAGTACTCCACGCTATTGTTACACAATTGATTTTTGTGTAACACAACGATACATATTAAGAAGTCGATCACGAAAGAACTGAAGTATGTACACGCATCAAAACAGTCTTGAAGGACGCAATTGTGACCTTCCCTGAGAATTATTCAATAGCAACATTGTATTCACAAGTTGTTAATTTACATAAGAAGGGCTATTAATTAAATGATGCCTGTTGGGAATAAGGTAACGTTATGTGTAGAGATGAATTGTAGCAACAATATAATGAAGAATAAAAAATGCTTGTTAGTTTTTGAAGGGGAATCAACAAGGATTTTCAGAGTTTCCCCCTAAGCCTTATGCATTTCTTTGCGGTTTACATGTACGGATGAATTATATCAGCTATATTATCAAGACTTAAAAATACTAGAAAGTTACATTTTGTGGGGAATTACTAAGGATTTTTACCGCTTTCCACCCATGTCTACTCATTATGCATGTCTTTTTCTGATGCAGTCCACCAACTGGCCCCAGGCTGTCGACATCAGATCCGCCAACGCGCTTCTGTACGAGCGTAACGCGGCAGCGCCTGGATACATCCCACGCTAATCCTGCCGGTAAAACACACCGCTAGCTTACCTTCCTCTCCACCTGCCCATCTCTCAACGCTAAGCAGACGGCTTGGCTGTAGTCGGTACTGATAGTTGGCGTCGTAACCTGACCGAAGGCACCTCCATGGGCCGCTGCCGGGGTGCCGACTGGCCCTGTCCCGTCCACGCGTCGGACCCGCCCCGTACACACCGTGCGTCCCGCCGCCCCGGTCCGACTAACCTACATGCAAGACCACCTGTTCCTGTCGTCTGCGTGTCACACAGGCTATCATCCTTTCATCAACCTACGCTAATGGACGCTACCATTG